CCCGGCATGTCCAGGCCCCGAGCAGGCCCGGGCGCGTCCGCCCCCACGCCACGCACCCAACGCTGAGCAGGCCGGGCGCCCCCCACCCCCGGCTGGCAGACACAGGGGCCCGTCCCCGCCCCAGAAATGCCATCGTGGCCCCCACAGGGAGGAGCCAAGTTCCCTCTGAAGCGGTTCCCCAACTCCGGGCTGCTCCCAGCCGCCTGGGCGTGAAGGGGCCCCCAGGAGCCGGCGAGGGCCGCGGCCGCGGCCGGGCAGGCGACTTACTCTGGAGACGACTCTGGCGTCAGGTTGGACATCTCCTCCGGAGTGGGCACTGCACGGGAGGGCGGGAAGCTGTGGCCTCGGCCCGGCCCTGCCCACCCTCGCTGGGCTTCTGCGCACGCCCTGCGGGTCCGGGCGGCCGGGGCCCCGGCGGCCAGGCCTGGCCGCTGCAGCAGTGGGCCTGGGGGCTGTCCCTCCTCCTGGCGCGGGGCCCAGCCCTGTGCCCGCCCCCGAGCCGCCCACCCCCGTCCCTGGCCTGGGAGCCCGGGAGGCTGGCCACCAGCACTGGCGAGCCGGCAGGCTGGCCCGCTGGCCTCAGGTCCCCTGGCGCTGGACGCCGGCCCCTCACCTTGCAGTTTCCGGCGGTGGAAGCGGGGCGACCCCAGGAAGCTGTTCTTGATGGAGCTGAGCCGCGTGCGCCAGGGCACCCCTCCGACGCTGGGGCTGGACGGCGGCGTGGGCGTGGGCGTGCCAGCCGGGCTCTCCTTCGGCGTGTGCACGGGCGTCCCCTTGGGGGTGGGGAGGGGGCTGCCCCTCGGGGAAGGGTGTGGGGTCACCTGTGTGGCAGGGACAGAGTTGGTGCTCGGACCTGGTGGGGAATGGACCCCGGGGGCGACCCTGGGGCAGGGCGGGCGTGGGGCGGCCCGTGGAGGGCAGCTGCGTGCAGGCCCGGGGTGCTCCCGTCAACTTGGGGCTCCGTGGGGGCGGCGCGGTGGGGGGGGCAGGGCGGCGGGAGGCGGCAGGCAGGGGCCCCCGAGGCAGCGACGACCTGGCAGTGTCCTGAGGGCATGCCTGGGAGAGCAGGCGTGGTCACTCACCCGGGGGCTGCTCAGCGGGCTGGTGGACAGGCCAGAGGAGGCGCCGCTGATGGACCTAGACCTGGGGACACAGGCAGGAGGCCCGCTCAGTGCGGGGAGCGGCTCGGGCTCTTTCCCCAGGGGGACACCCCAGGCGTCCCGGAGTCCTGGCCAAGAGCCTCAAGGCTGCCCCGATCCTGGAGCAGGACTGCCCACGCCAGAGCTGACCCGCTGTCCCTACCTGCCTCTCCTGGCCCAGGAGGGCTGCGGTGTCCCCTGGAAGCCGGTCTGAACCCCAGGACACGGCCAGTGGCCTCGGGACCCTCTCCTTCCCTTCCGCCCGGGCGTGGGGCCCAGGGTCGCCTGTCAGGTCTCGGTGGGTGAGGGATGAGGGGGGCCGGGGCTCCCGGCCCCACGTGGCCCCACCCCCGGGCCCTGGCTGCCCTGGGCCTGCCTGACCCCCAGGCCGGGGCTCTCACAGGCTACGCTACTGTGCTGGCTCAGCAGCCTGCGTCCGGCGAGCAGTCACCAGCCGCCCCTCTCCGGCCGTGGCGTCCACGGCCCTCCCAGAGCCACCCCAGAGTGTGGGTACAGCCCTGCTCGCTCCTGCCAGCCCCCGGGGGTCTGGGCACTGACAGGGACGTCTGGCGCGTGGGTCCTGCCGGAGGAGCCGCCGCGCCCCGACCGCGCACCAGAAGCCCGCCGGGCCGAGCTC